GACGACCACGACGACGACGACGACGACGACGACGACGACGACGACGACGACGACGACGACGACGACGACGACGGCGGCGGCGGCGGCGGCGGCGGCGATGACGACGACGACGACGACGGCGGCGTCGACGACGACGACGACGGCGACGGCGGCGGCGGCGGAGGCGGAGGTCCCGATTTTGCCCCCCCCTGATCTCCGACGTGTTTTGGTCTGTTTTGCTCGATGCGGGCGTTTCTCGTCGGCGCCGGTTGGCCTGTGTGGTCCGCGCTGCTGTCGGGCGCAGGGGCCACGACAGAGTGGATCCAGGCTTCAGTCGGGCCTGTCCCTCTACGGCAAAGAACAGCACGGCAAAGAACAGTACGGAGTAATAAAAAGTTGGCAAAGAACAGTACGGGGACCATTTTTTGAGGTGTTCGTTTTCCCCGAATTCGGGGATATTTGTATGGGGTATTTTTCCATTTCTCGTCCAAAATCCCCACGTAGGGGGGCATTTTATGTCTCTACACAGACATGCGACGTCCTGATTTTTTCAGGACGGCGTCCCCGGAAGTCCAGACCCCCTTTCCTCGGGATTGGTTTTTCGTCCTGAATCTTTGTTTGACGGTCCCGAGGCCTGGCGAGGGCCCCCGGGGCCGAAAGTAGCGAAAACCTCCCGCCCTGCTTTTTTCAAGGAGGGGAAAAGACACACAAACACAATTAATCGTCGACTCCCAGGAAAACAAGGGAAAATATGGGCAGTGGGGGGGAAGACGAACATCCCACGAATACGGGGACATATGGGGAATCCTGTTGGGAGGGGGAGGGGGAGGGGGAGGGGGAGGAGGAGGAGGAGGAGGAGGAGGAGGAGGAGGAGGAGGAGGAGGAGGAGGAGGAGGAGGAGGAGGATTACGCTGTAAGGATTACGCGGTGTGGCCGTCCACGCGGCACAGCTCGCAGCTCGGCATCGCAGCACCAAGGGGAAAGTCGAAACCAACACCAAGACCCTGGTGCCGAGAGAGCCGTCTTCGAATTTATCCAGCGTTCTCCGGAAACGCTCTGCCGGAGCACGCTGGCACAAGTGGCTCGGCAACACGCCGGCGTTAAAACTGTTAAACAGATTCCAGGCATTCCGGGGGTTCAAGAGGTCGCGGAACCGGCTTCAATTATCAGGCGCATCTCACGCCAAATCAGGCGGGCGCGGATCGTCCTCGTCCGCGCCGCCGAAACGCCACTCTGCTGCCTCGTCCTCTGGGTCGAGGGGCCTTGCCACAGGCTGAGAGGAGTCGCCAGGAATCACCGTGGGAGCGCGGTCCTGAGCTCTCGACGCAGCCGCAGCCGATGGGGCAGGTCCTCGGGCCCCAGGGTCCCCCGCCACAGTCGCTTTGGCCACCTCTTCAGCGCAAACGCGCGCATGCAACGCCTCGATGACCGATTTAGGAGGGCCCTCGCGGCGTGGGTACTGGTCTCGCCTGATGCGAGCTAAATTCTCGGCTCCTTTCCGTGATCTCCCAAGGCATCTGGCCTCGAGATGTCTGAAATCTTCCGTCGCATACCTACCGCATTCGTGGCAGAACACCATGCAATACTTGGACCACTCTCCAAGTCTGTGAGTGCTGTGCAGCTCCCTCCCGCCCAGGCCCCTTAAAACACCCTCGCCCACAGCCCTGGGGGCCCTGTTCAGGACGGGGGGGGTGGGACAGGCGGGGCTGGCGGAGGTGCGCACGCAGTGCTGCAGAACTCCAGCAGGCTCGAGGCATGCACTCGCTGGTTGCACACCTCGCATCTCCATTTAGCGCCGTCCTGGGCCATCTGGTGGCCCGTTTCGCGGAGAGCTATCTTCACGCCGCTCTCGCGGGCCCCACGAGGCGCGATATCTTCGCGCTCGGCCCGGGTCGTGTCGCAGTCCTGGGCAAGTTGTAAGGCCTTGGACGCTCGACGTCTGACAAGAGCGGCAACAGCATCGCAACTGTCAGCGTGGGGAGCAGCATGCATGACGAATCCCTCCCAAGCCCGATCCGCCGCCTCCCCCGCCCCATGGTCGGCCGTGGCATTGCCCACAGCAAGGAAGAGGTCCCTATCTGTGACCAGACGGCCCGCGTCCTCCTCTTCAGCGTGAGAGGGGACCCATTCCAGAGAGACCTCGCGGCCTTCGGCCGCCGCGCGAATTC